AAGTGTGTATTCATCTCAGCTGCCCATTTTTGAATGGTGGTTAATTAGACTCTTGAGCTTTTCCAGAAGTGTCCATGGGGGAAACAAGTATAGCACTGGTCATGGAACAGGGGTGGAAACTGATCCTCAAAGCTTTCTTGTGTCTTCAATATCCTTTGGCCAGAGTTACCCAAACCAGCACCACTATTGGCGCCCTATTACCTTATATTAGCCAGCTTCTTGGACGTCATTTATCAAGTCATAGCTCATGTCCGCATACTGGAATTTCATTGTAGTGCTATTTAGTAGGATAATCTGGAGTACACCAGGATTCTTGAACAAACACAGTTAAAATAACTCCTCAGTGATAATGAATCAGTAAAGTCATGTCCATAGGGCTGAGTCTTTTGTCAAATTAGATATTTCTGCATGATCTGTGCAGTAGATTTTAGAGTTTTGTTAGGTGACAGTTACACTTTATGAGTGCAAATTATATAGAGGTTAGACAAAGCAAAAATGTGCAAATTGATGAAAGAGATTATGATTTATTTAGTGTGCTAGCAAATCAGAATTCAACTTTCACCCCAACATCTGCTTGAAAAAAGTCAAGCCTGGTAAAGACATATAATATATGGATAAGACTTATATTGAGCTGTTGTTGGAATAACCATGTGTTATGTAAGAGCACTGTTCAACTCACCTTTAGCATACTGTAATGCTTTCTTGCAGTATATGGAGCACAAAATGGAAAAGACAATAGGATATGGTAATTAAGTGTTGGTAGAGAGAAATCAGAACCAGGAATCTTAGGATTTACTACCCCCCCCCCCAATCACCAACTTATGTTTACTGCTGAATAGCATATCCACACATGTAATGGCAGATTTGATTTGGAAATTTTGTCAAAGTATTTATAGCACTGGAGAACTGTATGTCTAGCTTTGAGACAATCTAAATCTAGAGCAGCAGACAGAACTTTTTCTGTTCTATCTCCAGAGTTGCTTTGCTTTCGGAAAGCTAGTAAACTAGTGATTGGTCCAGATTCACATAGCAGACAGCTAAGAATCATTGTTCTTTTTTACTGGATTGTAATCAAATAATTTATCACTTGGCTTGCTGCTAATTGCAGCATATTTTATTTGCTGAAAATAGCCAATTTCTCCAACCTTCACTTAAAGAAGAGACATAAGAGTGTCATGCTAGTGATACTTTGGAAAGTTGTTTGCTTTTTTAAAAAAAAATTGTAGTAAGCATGAGAACATGAAGATATAATAGGAAGGGAATTTGACAAATACCACATTGAGGGCCACTGTATATCTCTCTATTCTGACTGTATTCACCCTACTGAATTTCACATGCTTTATTACATCCTTTTTTGTTTTATTCTGTTAATCTATTCCCTGCATTACCATTTAATAAGATGTTGTGCAAACTGTGGACTCCTTTCTTGTGTTATTTACCATATACCCTCTGTCTGTGATCATACTAGGTTGGAGTTCTAACAAGCTGCTGATTGCTGGACCACTTGCATGCAACGCTACTGGAATTGCCTATCCATTAGGAAATTCGTGTATTCTGATTGTGGAAACAGAAAGCTGAAACAAA